CCAGGTTTGAGCGATTCTCATGCCTCATCCTCCCAAGCAGCTGGGATTGCAGGCACGTGCAACTACACCTGGCTAATTTTTTTGTGTTTTTAGTAGAGTTGGGGTTTCACCATGTTGGCCAGGCTGGTCTCCAACTCCTGACCTCAGGTGATCCGCTTGCCTCATCCTCCCAAAGTGCTGGGATTACATGTGTGAGCCACCATGCTAGCCTGCTTTCTATGTTTCTAACGTCCTTTGGCTGAAATTTATTTTTTTTTTCTTGGCTCTCAGGAAGTTTTAATAGCATCTGTAATGCAGCAAAGCCTGAAGCAGAAGGTTTTTTTCAATTTCTTTATTACACCTTGAGATTAGACACCCCCAACTGAAGTATTTCTCTGTTTGAGGACATACTAGAAAATGGAATTGCAGCTAGGCACTGTGGCTCACACCTGTAATCCCAGCGCTTTGGGAGGCTGAGGTGGATGGATCACTCAAGGCCAGCCTGGCCAACGTGGTGAAACACTGTCTCTATTAAAAGAAAAAAATTTAAATTAGCCAGGCATGGTGGCTGCACCTGTAATCCCAGCTACTCGGGAGGCTGTGGCAGGAGAATCGCTTGAACCTGGGAGGCGGAGGTTGCAGTGAGCCGAGATCATGCCATTGCACTCCAGCCTGAGCCACAGAGCAAGACACTGTCTCTAAAATAAAAAAAGAAGGAAAGGGCCAGGTGCAGTGTCTCATGCCTGTAATCCCACACTTTGGGAGGCCAAGGTGGGTGGATCACCTGAGGTCGGGACTTTGAGACCAGCCTGACCAACATGGAGAAACCCCGTCTCTACTAAAAATATAAAAATAAGCCGGGTGTGGTGGCACATGCCTGTAATCCCAGCTACTCCAGAGGCTGAGGCAAGAGAACTGCTTGAACCCAGGAGGCGGAGGTTGTGGTGAGCGGAGATCACACCATTGCACTCCAACCTGGGCAACAAGAGCGAAACTCAATCTCAAAAGAAAGAAAGAAAATGGAACGCAAATAAATCTAATATTTATTTTAGCGGAGTCAGACGAATTTGATGAAAATATCCTTTGGCAGTTTTTGTGTTTGACTGAGTAAGATTTCCTTTCTTTTGTCTATCAGTTTTCAGGTGAAAATGGCGAGAGAATGAAAGAAAAGTACGGGGTGTTTTGTAGTGGCCACAATGAAGCTGTCAGTCATTATAAGTTGCTGCTTCAGCAAAACAAGAAATTTCAAAACTTGATTAAGGTAAAAACACAGTTTTTTTTAAATCAAAAACTTATATTCTTCACTGTGGGTTTTTCCCACAGAATTGTAGAGTCTTGGGAATTGGGAGGTATAAGGCACCTGTTACGTAGCCGTGATTTTTAAGGTTTGGTTTTGGTTTTAACCACAACCCCATTCAGAACACATCAGTGAAATCTTAGGTAGAATCCTGAGATATCGGCTGGGCGCAGTAATGCTAGCACTTTGGGAGGCCAAGGTGGGCAGATCACGAGGTTAGGAGTGAGAGACCATCCTGGCTAACACGGTGAAACCCCACCTCTACTAAAAATACAAAAATTAGCTGAGTGTGATGGCACATGCCTGTAGCTACTCGGGAGGCTGAGGCAGGAGAATTGCTTGAACCCAGGAGGTGGAAGTTGCAGTGAGCCAAGATCATGCCATTACACTACAGCCTGCGTGACATTGCGAGACTCCGTCTCAAACAAACAAAAGAAACCTGAGATGTGAACCAAAGCAGGCCAGATGCAGAGTCTCACGCCTGTAATTCCAGCACTTCGAGAGGCCAAGGTGGGAGGATCGCTTGAGGCCAGGAGTTGGAGACCAGCCTGGGCCACATAGCAAGATCCTGTCTCTTCAAAAAATTTAAAAGTTAGCCAGGCATGATGGTGCACACCTGTATCCCCAGCTACTCCAGCAGCTAAGGAGGGAAAATCACTTGAGATCAGGAGTTTAAGACCAGCCTGGGCAACATAGCAAGACCCCATCTCTATTTTATATATACATATACATATATATATATACACATATATGTATATATACACACACACATATATGTGTACATATTAACAAAATCAATCAAAGAAAGCATATCTAGACTTTTTGCCTTGCCATGCCACAGTGGCCCCTGAGAGGCCCCTGCAGCCCTCAGCATGGGACCTGCTAACCATGACTTTTCAGACTGTTTGAATGTCACAAAGGATTTGTTTGAAGGGGCTGCCACAGGAACTGGCCCTCCAGGGCCAGCCTGTTTTGCCATGGGGATGCCAGCTGTCTTAAGGAAGGTTATTCCAAACCTCTGTCCCCTAGTTGGTCCCTGTTTGCCCCTGGGGCATGTAGAATAATCTTCCTGCCTCCTTTGGGTGAGAGTGGGTAGGTGCACAGAGCCCAACTGGGGTCAGCCAAGTCAAGGGAGACCCCCCACCTCCAGCACCCTACAAATCACACTTGGGGCTGGGCGCGGTGGCTCACGCCCATAATCCCAGCACTTTGGGAGGCCGAGGTGGGTGGATCACGAGGTCAGGAGTTCGAGACCAGCCTGGCCAACATGGTGAAACCCTGTCTCTACTAAAAGTATAAAAATTAGCCGGGTGTGGTGGCAGGCACCTGTAATCCCAGCTATTTGGGAGGCTGAGGCAGGAGAATTACTTGAACCTGGGAGGCGGAGGTTGCAGTGAGCCGAGACTGCACCATTGCACTCCAGCCTGGGCAACAGAGCGAGACGCCAACTAAAAAAAAAAAAAGAAACCACACTTGGACTACAGGAAGTCGGTTCTATCAACGTTGACCTCTTTAGAGGCCCTAACACCGCTGATTCCACAAAAGCTGCATCACCTGTGACCTGGCCAGGACTTGGTTCTGCAGTGGCATTCTACACCCAGGGGTCCAAAGTCAGGAGTGACATGCGTTTAAACTTCATTGCATTATAGGTAGGTGGGAACGGGAGAGAATCGTTTTGGAGCCGCAGTTCCTCGAAGGCGGGAGGGGGATTCCAAAGAAACCTCCGTCCATGGACTCTTGCAAATCCCACAGCGGCTCTGGTCCTCTCAAGTGGCTCCTTGCAAGTGCTGGCATCCCTAAAATGCATGTAAGAGCAGCGGGAGCAAACAAGCAGAAAATGTGCCATGCTCCCGAGAGTGAGCGACAGGTGACCACTTTTGGTTCTCAGCCAGAGGTGAGCATCAGAAAGCACCCAGGACGGGCGTGGTGGCTCACGCTTGGGATCCCAGCACTTCTGGGGAGGCCAAAGTGGGTGGATCACCACACCTGGCCTTTTGTGGCCTTTGTGTATACAGCAGGTGATCCCTGCTTTAGGTATTTCGTGTCTTTCTCCTCCAAAGCAGCAAAGGAAAGGTCCTGGTGAGCAGAAAAAGGAAGGTGCCTTCAGCCTTGGCAGCCAATTGTTGACTAATTGGGCAGGAGACGAGGTGTTAATACAGGGTCTTGCTTTCCGTTTCCTAGAAAATTGGCAACTTCTCCATCGTGCGGCGGCTTGGTGTGCAGGAGTGCATTCTCCTGGTTACGCAGCGCATAACCAAATACCCAGTGCTGGTGGAGCGCATCGTCCAGAACACGGAAGGTAGGCCTCCTCCCCACTGTCCCGCCCACCCGTGCTGCTACAGCCTGGGGCCCTCTCCCTGCACTCGTTCCCTGTTTTAGCAGCAGACTGGATACATTCCCTTTGGAATCCACTTTGCTGGGTGCTGGAGTTTCTTTTTTTTCCTTTGTCTTTTTTTTTTTTTTTTTGAGATGGCGTTTCGCTCTTGTTGCCCCGGGTGGAGTGCAGTGGTGCGATCTTGGCTCACTGCAACCTCCACCTCTCAGGTTCAAGCTATTCTCATGCGTCAGCCTTCTGAGCAACTGGGATTACAGGCACATGCCACCACGCCTGGCTAACTTTTGTATTTTTAGTAGAGACAGGGTTTCACCCTGTTGGCCAGGCTGGTCTCAAACTCCTGAACTCACAATCCGCCCACCTCGGCCTCCCAAAGTGCTGAGACTACAGGCATAAGCCACCACGTCTGGCTCTTCTTTACAGGTGGGTGCCTGTAATCCCAGCTACTTGGGAGACTGAGGCAGGAGAATTGCTTAAACCTGGGAGACAGAGGTTGCTGTGAGCCAAGATCATGACATTGTACTCCAGCCTGAGCCACAGAGTAAGACTCCATCTCAAAAAAAAAAAAAAAAAAAATGAACTCTGGGGAATTGCACTTGTTTTGGAGAACCATTTGCATCTCGGGATTTCACAGTTGGGAAGGTGATCTTGAGGGTCTTCTGAATGGTGGCCTTGGAGAACACAACTCCTAGATCCCACATGCCCATATGTAGCGAGTGTGTCCACTTCTGTTGTGTTCGTGAAAGTGGAAAGGAGAGACGCTAACTCTGCTGTGTGTGGCAGCTGGCACTGAGGACTATGAAGACCTGACCCAGGCTCTGAACCTCATCAAAGATATCATCTCACAAGTGGACACCAAAGTCAGCGAGTGTGAGAAGGGCCAGCGCCTCAGGGAGATCGCAGGGAAGATGGACCTGAAGTCCTCCGGCAAACTCAAGAACGGGCTCACCTTCCGCAAGGAAGACATGCTTCAGCGGCAGCTGCACCTGGAGGGCATGCTGTGCTGGAAGACCACATCAGGGCGCTTGAAAGGTAAAGGCCTGCCCCTGGCCACCTCTAGTGGGTGCCATCTTGGATAAGTGGTCGCCATCTTGGATTGGTGGGTACTCTCCTGATTGGTGGCACTATCCTGTATCTGTGGGTACCATTTTGGTTGCCATTTTGTATTGGTGGGTGTCATGTTGGATTGGTGGCACCATATTGGATGGGTGGGTGCTATGTTGGCTTGGTAGCACCATCTTGGGAGTTTTGGGCACCCTTTTACAATGGTGGGTGCCGTCTTGGATCAGTGGCCATCATCTTGGATTGGTGGATGCTATTTTGGATTACTAGCTTCATCTCTAGTGGTGGCAGCATCTTGGGAGTTGTGGGTGCCCTCTTAGAATGGTGGGTGCCATCTTGGATCAGCGGGCATCATCTTGGATTGGTGGGTGCCATACTGGATTAGTAGCTCCATCTTTAGTGGTGGCAACATCTTGGAGTGGTGGCTATCTTCTTTGAGTGGTGGGCATTCTCTTGGATTGGTGAGCATCCTCTTGGATTGATGGGTGCCATCTTGGATTGGTGGCACAGTCTTGGGAATGGTAGTACCATCTTGGATCAGTGGGCACCATTTCAGTTGGTGGATGTCATCTTAGATTGGTGTCATGGTCTTGGGAGTGATGGCACCATCTTGGATCAGTGGGTGCCATCTTGGAATGGTGGCATCATCTTAGATCAGTAGGCTCCCTCTTGGATCAGTGGGCACCATTTTGATTGGTGGGTGCCATCTCGGATCAGTGAGATGGTCTTGGGAGTGATAGCACCATCTTTGATTAGTGGGTGCCATCTTGGACTGGTGGCATGGTCTTGGGAGCAGTGGCGTCATCTTGGATCAGTGGGTGCCCTCTTGCATCGGCAGTCACCATGTTGGTTTGATGGGTGTCAGCTGACACACAGCCACTGAGGTCTGGCTACTTCATGGCTGAAGGGAGGTTATGAGCTGAGTCAGGATGAGCAAGGCAGCTGGTGTGTAGCGTAACACGAGGTGGCTGTATCACCATTCCTCCTCCTCTGGTCTTTGGAAGGGTACAGTACAAACCAGGAGGGCACACCGAGTCACTGACTTTCAGATGGAAACCCAGGGTGTTGGCATCATGACACCCCAGGTTTGGGCCCAGAATTCCAAACACACTCAGCTGCTCATCTGGACAGTCATGGGCCAGCCTGCCTGCCATGGGCCAAGCCACTGACAGGCCCCCATGTGGATAGAGAATACCCCCAGGACTGCTGATCATTGTCCCCAAGCATCCCACTCGCTGCCCAGGGTGTGGTCCGAGCCCTGCTTTCAAGATCCATGTTGCAGTTCAGACCAGAGTGCTCAGGATTTATCCCTGGGTTTCCTGTTCATTTTTGGAGCCTCTAGAGACATCCCAAGCTATCTATTCACATCAGCATCTTTAAAGAGCCTGAGGGAGTCATTGAGGTGGCCAAATGACAGCATTTGCCCACTGGTCATTTGAGTAGGAGTGTATTTTGCAGATAGATTTAGTGCCTTCTGCCCACCAGGCACCGAGTTGGATGGTAAGAATATACCCAACGGGACAAGACCTTGCCCCTAGTGTCCTAGGGCTTCACTCACTGGGGCTGAAAGAGAGAAACAAGCAAACAGAAAAATGAGTTAGAAGCCCAACTGATGCTTTAAGGAAGCCAGCAGGCTGTAGTGCAAGCAAATTAGCAAAAGTGCTTCTGACTTAGACAGGGGTGTTGGAAGCAGTTCCCCAAAAGTGGTGTTGCCCTTGAAATCCACATCTTACATGGATGACAGCTGGCAAAAAGAGAGGGAGCTTGTGCAGGGAAAAATACCCCTTATAAAACTGTCACATCTCGTGAGACTCATTCACTCTCACGAGAACAGCACGGAAAAGACTTGCCCCCATGGTACAATTACCTCCCACTGGGTCCTTCTCACAGCACGTGGAAACTCAAGAGGAGATGTGGGTGGGGACACAGCCAAACCATATCAGACACTCAAAGGTCAGACCCAGCAGGTGTGTTGTTACAGCAAAGAGAACTGCTTGAGCTCTGGACATGGAAGGGTCTTAGAGGAGGCTCCGGCTGCTCATTGGTGCAGAAGGTTGAGAACTAGAAAGGTGATGGCGGGTGGGAGGCAAGGCAGAAAGGAAACTTCTTAGCCCAGGTGGAAACATCAAACTGCTTATACCTTCCTGGGAGGCGGCGTCTGCCGGGGTGCCCAGAAAGACCTCCTGGCCTCCTTCCATGCTGTTTCCCCAGATGTCCTGGCTGTCCTGCTGACCGACGTGCTTTTGCTCCTACAAGAAAAAGATCAGAAATACGTCTTTGCTTCTGTGGTATGTATCCCCTCTTCAGACGAATGGTTGGCTGGGTGCAGTGGCTTATGCCTGTAATCACAACACTTTGGGAGGCCAAGGCAAGCAGATCACTTGAGGTCAGGAGTTCGAGACCAGCCTGGCCAACCTGTTGAAACCCAGTCTCTACTAAAAGTACAAAAATTAGCTGGGCATGGTGGCCCACGTTGTAGTCCCAGCTACTCAGGAGGCTAAGGCAGGAGAATCATTTGAACCCAGGAGGCGGAGATTGTGGTGAGCCGAGATCACACCACTCTTCTCCAGCCTGGGCAACAGAGTGAGACTCTGTCTCAAAAAAAAGAAAAGGGCCCTGGGACCTCGGGGGGGGTTGGCTGAAACTGTCCATGGGAGGTACACCTTTGGGTTACCCAGGCCCATGTAGCTGGGATTACAGACGCCCGCCACCATGCCTAGCTAATTTTTTGCATTTTTAGTAGAGACAGGGTTTCACCATGTTGGTCAGGCTGGTCTCCAACTCCTAACCTCAAGTGATCCTCCTGCCTTGGCCTCCCAAAGTGCCAGGATTATAGGTGTGAGCCACCACACTCAGCTGCTGGTGTGTTCTTAACCAGTGTGTTTGTTTACTGCGGCTGCTGTAAACAAAGTACCGGGTGGTTTAGACCACAGAAGTGTATTGTCTTACATTCCTATAGGCTGAAATCCAAGATCAAGGTGTCAGCAGGGTTGGTTTCTTCTGAGGCCCCTTGGCTTGTAGACAGCTGTCTGCTCCTTGTGTCCGCCTCACCTGGCCATTCCTCTGTGTCTGTCTCTGTGCTAATGTCCTCCTATTAGAAGGATGCCAGTCAGATTGGGTTAGGTCCCACCCATGACCTCATTTCACCATAATCATCTCTTTTTTTTTTGAGACAGAGTCTCGCTCTGTCACCCAGGCTGGAGTGCAGTGGCACAATCTCAACTCACTGCACCCTCCACCTCCCGAGTTCAAGTGATTCTCCTGCCTCAGCCTCCCATGTAGCTAGGATTACACGTACCCACCACTACATCCAGCTAATTTGTGTATTTTTAGTAGAGATGGGGTTTCACCATGTTCGCCAGGCTGGTCTCAAACTCCTGACCTCAGGTGATCCACCCACCTTGGCCTCCCAAAGTGCTGGGATTACAGGTGTGAGCCACCACACCCGAACCTTATTTACCTCTTTAAATGAGGCCTCATCTCCAAAGACAGCCACATGCTGAGGTACTAGGGGTCAGGACCTCGTATGAATCTGTGGGGAACACAGTACAGTTAAAATGTGCATTTTGCTGGTCTATGGAAGCATTGTCTCTTGAAGGATGCGTGACAGACTAGAAATACCCTTGGCTCTGGCTAGCCTGAGGCACAAGACAGAGATGAGTTTATTTGTTGTTATATACTACATACTGTTACACTAATCTTTTGAGCTTTGTAGTATGTATATGTAGTGCTGATTACTTTTTTTTTTTTTTTGAGACTGAGTCTTGCTCTGTCACCTGGTTGGAGTGCAGAGGCTTGATCTCTGCAATCTCTACCGCCTGGGTTCAAGCGATTCTCCTGCCTCAGCCTCCCGAGTAACTGGGATTACAGGTCCCCGCCACCACACACAGCTAATTTTTATATTTTTAGTAGAGATGTTGGCCAAGATGGTCTCGATCTCTTGACCTTGTGATCCGCCCGCCTCAGCCTCCCAAAGTGCTGGGATTACAGGTATGCAACACCGCACCCGGGCCACTGATTACTTTAGAAAAAAATTTTCAGCTGATGAAATTGACATATTATCTGGATGCTAAGAGGCAAGATGGCTCATGCCTGTAATCTCAGCACTTTGGGAGGCCAAGGTGGGAGGATCATTTGAGCCCAAGAGTTCAAGACCAGCCTGGGAAACATAGTGAGATCCCTTCTCTACAAAAAAATACAAAAATTAGCTGGGCATGGCGGCACACGCCTGTAATTCCAGCTACTAAGGAGGCTGAGGTGGGAGGATCGCTTGAGCCCAGGTGGTCAAGGCTGCAGTGAGCCATGATTGCACCACTGCGCCACAGCCTGGGTGACAGAGCAAGACCTGGCCTCCAAAAAAGTTAAAAAAAAAGGATTCTAGGATTTTATTGTAATAATGTCTTTTTTTCCCCAGAGGACAATATATATCTGCTTTGAATTGTTTAAAAAGAAACAAGGAGCATGACCCCACCCACCCCGTTAGTTCCCCTCACCAGGCCCATGACCTCGCTGCTGTTTGGGTGCAGTGGGGTAAAGGGGGACCTCCCCAATGCCCTCTACCCATGCAGGACTCGAAGCCACCTGTCATCTCGTTACAAAAGCTCATCGTGAGGGAGGTGGCCAATGAGGAAAAAGCGATGTTTCTGATCAGCGCCTCCTTGCAAGGGCCGGAGATGTATGAAATCTACACGAGCTCCAAAGAGGACAGGAATGCCTGGATGGCCCACATCCGAAGGGCCGTGGAGAGGTGAGGAGGGCCTGGAGGGTCTCCCCACCCCATGTTCCTTCCGATGACCAGTCCACCCTTGGCTTCGACAGTTGGCCATCAGCTGTGACCTTGAACACCCTCATCCCAGCTTGGGCCCCATGATGCCATTCCAGCTTTTTCTGATGACTCAATGATGACTCAATCTGTTGGATGTGGAGGCCAACGGGCCCGGAAAGGCAGCTCTAACCTGGGCCTTTCTGCTCTTGTGGGCCATTAGCAGGCCCACGTGACATGGCAGGCTGTCTGTATTCTTGGGCCAGACATATTGGAGCAGGTCTCGGCATCTTGTCCTTCCTCCTTGGGCCCAGCACCCCTCAGGGCCCAGGATCAGCTGGCTTCCCCTCCCTGTTTGTTTGTTTGTTTGTTTGTTTTTGAGACAGAGCCTTGCTCTGTCACCCAGGCTGGAGTGCAGTGGCACAATCTCGGCTCACTGCAGCCTCTGCCTCCCAGGTTAAAGAGGTTCTCCTGCCTCAGCCTCCTGAGTAGCTGGGATTACAGGCGTGAACCACTGCACCCGGCTTTTTTTTTTTTTAGAGTCAGACTCTTGCTCTGTCACCCAGACTGGGGTGCACTGGCACAATCATAACTTACTGCAACCCCAAACTCCTGGGCTCAAATGAACCTACTCCCTCAGTCTCCCAAGTAGCTGGAACTATAAGCACATACCACCACACCCAGCTAATTTTTTTATTTTTGTAGAGATGGGGCCTCACTCTGTTGCCCAGGCTGGTCTTGAACTCCCGGCCTCAAGCCATCTTTCTGCCTTGGCCTCCCAAAGTGTTGTGATTATAGGCATGAGCCACCATGTCCGGCCAGAATGCCCTCTCTTGATGCCTGGAAGCTTCCTGGTGCTGTAGCCTGATTCAGACCACCACCACCTCCCCACCATCCACAGTAGCTGTAGCTCTGTGGGGCTTGCAGCCTCCCACCTACACCTCGCAGGTCCCCTGCAAGCATGTTGTCCCCAGGACTCTTCCTCCAAGTCACAGGAAGCAGGTAAAACCTCTTCCTGGTTATGCCCTGGGTGCTTTGGGGCCAGACAAATGCCAGTGGCTCTTTTTCTTCCCCTCATTGTCCTCCTGCACCATGAACAAGCTAAATCAGGGCCAGGAGCAGTGACTCACACCTGTAATCCCCGCACTTTGGGAGGCTGAGGTGGGTGGATCAGGAGGTCAGGAGTTCAAGACCAGCCTGACCAAGATAGTGGAACCCTGTCTCTACTAAAAATACAAAAAAATAGCCAGGTGTGGTGGCACGCACCTGTAGTCTCAGCTACTCGGGAGGCTGAGGCAGAGAAATGCTTAAACCCAGAAGGCAGAGGTTGCAGTGATCCAAGATTGTGCCACTGCACTCCAGCCTGGGCAACAGTGAGGAAAAAAAGAAAGGCTAAATTACTCCCAAAGTCAGAGACAGTCATAGCAGCTGGTTCTGCAGAACCAGCATCTGTGCCGGAGGCCGGCCTGGCTGGGAAGCACAGTTACCCACCCATCCCCTCTCCCTGCAGCTGCCCTGACGAAGAGGAGGGGCCCTTCAGCCTGGCGGAAGAGGAAAGGAAGGTGGTTGAGGCCCGAGCCACAAGACTCCGGGACTTTCAAGGTGAGGGGGAGACAGTGCTGTGGGCACAACCCTTGTGTGGTGAGCGCTGGGTCCCCCATCCGGACTGGCCATGGAGAGCAAACTGCCCCCCAAGTGACCCGTGTAAAACCCCCCACGTGACCTGGTGTTTTCCCTCGGGCTGTGCTGTGTCCTGCAGCTCTGTGAAGCATTAGAACGGTGTTGTGCCATGACATAGTGATTTCCAGAGGTCACTTAGCCCTTTGGGGGTATGTGGAAAAGGGACGGAGTAGAGCTTAGGGGACCTGA